GGAAAATTAGGTGACATCCCTTTATATAAAACTACAGAAAATATATTAACCTAGTGGTTAGAAATAACACAGGCTTCCAAATTTCAGCCTCTGATACTGACTCTCAGCTATGCAGTAGTTGAGCAATGGTATGTAGAAAGTAGCTGTAATACTTTTAATGGCCGGCCTAGTCTTGACAACAAGCCCTTCCTCTTCAGAATACCAGAGGCTGAGCAGGTATCCAAATGAGGAGGTATGCACAGTTCAATGGCATACCAAGTCCACCTTCCTTAGGCCAGCATCTTTCATCCTAACTCTATTAGAAATACATAAGCTGAAATCCTGCCCTATGTCCCTCATTCTGCATTTAATGCACAGGGGTGAAGGTTAAACAACCGAAGAGACCTACGTGGGATGAATTTGCACTTGCCTCATTTTTCAAACTCTCTTTTCCAACATACAGTTCTATCTAACAGGGAATCCAAAGCTACTTTCTAGCCCCTTGGAAAGCAACAGCACTATAAAAAAAAAAGTAAAAACTTCCACTCTTAACTCCATGATTTCTTCATGGGAGGGTCTCAGCTGCCTGAAATCAGCAAGAGCTCCTTTTTAACAAGTCGAGCCACTTATGAGCCCCTCCCAACACTATATGACAGCTTATAATAACATATTTTAGATTCCTAATGCAGTGGGTACCAGCCAGGAACAGGAAATGTTAATAATTATCCCAATTTTCAATCACTTTAACTACATTTTCACAGTAACACGTTCACAAATTTCCTCCCTACGTGTGACTAGAAGCTCGAGTGAAACTCTCTTTGGCAAAAACCAAAGCAGCTACGAAGCCCTGCAGAGCAGCCAAGGAAAAGAGCAATGAGCTGCTGTGCATTGCATGTCCTGATCTCACACCTCGTGCACAGAGTCAGAGCACACAGCACAGGTAACTACTACGTTGTGCAGTTCATTAGGATTAATAATTGCAGTACTTGCTCAAAACAGGCATGAAATTCCCAGGAAAATATAAGGAAACTGAAGCCTTAACAAATGGAAACAACCAATACACAAACAGAAAGGGCTGGTCCTGCCAAAGGTTTGCAGGACCATTTCACTCATTAAAAATGTACTGCCTTCAAGTGAGTGTGGTTCAGATGCACACCAGCAGCTTCTGTTTTGCTTTTTAGGATGTGGGTATGCCCACTGGCACATGACTATAGTTCTATATTTTCACAGAGTACAACATGTTTCTATGGTGAAGAAAAGATAGAGGGAACAAATACAGCTCCAGAAAACCTGAAGACCATTTCCTCCCTTTCTTCCTCCACAATTACCTCTTTACTGAAGGACATGGGTAACACAGACACCCAGTGCATATGCTAAAAGCAAAGGGAATGTGTCATTCAGCACAGATGGATCAACTGGTCATACTTAAACACTTTCCAACTGTATAAGAAAAGGACACACTGCAGCAGCCCAAGGACACCAGACAGTGCTGGCACCTTTACACAGTTCCCCTCTAGCCTCTGAGGACTGACGTTATATTTCACAGGAGTCTGCCAACTGTTAGGGCACACTACCATGTTATCCTACACAAAACCAGGAAGGGTTAAAGAACAGGCAATGCCAATTAATAACATCTATCTTTTCCATTTTTCATGCTCTACATCTTTCTTCAGTTTTCCATAAGGGTTCTCTACACCTTCCTGTGTTTCTTTGTGCTCATATTCCACCATTATTTTAATTCTTGATTTGGCCTTACAATTTATTTTTCTTTGTTCTTTTCTCCCCACTTCCATAATTGTGCTATAACGCATATTTAAGATGCTAGAAGCACATAGAGGATTTTTAGAAGAACCCAGCACAGTAAGTGAGGTGCTTATAAAATCCAGATACACACATCACAGCTGCAGCCAGTGGGCACTGAGTGCATTCAGCAACATGTCTGGGGCTTCAACAGAACTCATATCCTCAGAAATTGTGCCCCTGAGGTGATGGTCTCCTTAGAATCATTGTTTTATCCCAATTTGCCATTCATGCAATTCCAGTGAACTCTACAGGAATAAAATGGAGGAGGAAAAAAAAAAAAAAAAAAGCATAAGAATAAAGAAAATAGTAAAGAAAGGCTACAAAGGATGGCTTTGCTTGTTTATTAAAGCTGTTGACAGGAAATCAGGTTTGTGCAGTCCCCCTACTCACAAATAAACCTATTCAAAAATGCCACAAATTAAAAGACAGCAGACAGCAAATGCATTCTGAGTATGGACTCAGATGACAAATTTCCACAAAGTCAGTTGCAGTAATAACAACAAAGATGGGAGAGAATTTTTTCTGTAACTGCTGCAATATTTTCTAAATACACTCAGATGAATATAAAACGTAGTACTGTGAAATTTTTTTCTTACTAGCATATGGCAGTGAGAGCTTCAGACAAGTCACAGAGGGCTGGGCTTGGAGGATTCAATGAGAAAGTTGCTTGAGATGTGCTCAGAATGATTTTATATTTTAGAAGCCAATATTCTTAATTTCCCAGCATGATTTCATAAGAGTCATAGAAATATTTTTTTTTTGGTGTTTATTATCCTCTAGATTCTGGAAACCTTTCTGCATGCTGAAAGCAAATTACCCTGAAGTGACAACTATAAAACCACGGCAGTCCCAGTTAGTCCTATGCTAAGCGTTTGCTCTCCCATAGCTTAAAAAAATAATCAAGAACTGTATGAGTGCCTTAGGCTTCCAGCACAATTTGCAGGAGGAAGATTTCCCTAACAGATCGTATGATTAGTCCAGTCTACATTATCTATCACTATGTATAATCACAGCATGTAAATGCAACAGTTCGGTCAGATTTTACATTCAAATCCCACAGTTCAGATTCTTCATGGTGGATCGTTTTAATGCAGAATTGCAAGACATAAAATGCTAGACTTGTGTGTGTTTTCTGTAATGAGTATCTTCTTCCCCTGTAACACGTGAACGCAAACCTGGTTTTGTGTTCAAACTGGCTCAGTGCAGTAATCCCACAGGATTAAGTCATACTGTAAATACCAGACAAATTACAATCGGATTAGATGGGCAGTCTGTTCATTTACTCAACACAGCTGCACTCCAGAGTCTTTTCACCACTGGTGTCTATTTGTAACATAAATGTTTTGTCCTTAAACTAAACAAATGCAGTTTCTATTTCATATGTCTCATTTTACCATTTGTGACCAATAAGGAGCACATTTCTAATTCCTAAGGAGCCAGCAGAATGCTCCTCGAGAGGACAATTTTTGGTACAGATCTGCAGGGCAAGATTTATTTTAAATTTATCAGTGAAAAGTCCCTTGGAAGGTCTGCATTCAGTTTTAGCCAAGTGGAATAGAGAAAATATCTTTCTGGAGGTAGGTATGAGACAGCTGCACAGATTTGATGCAATTTCCCAGGACTTGCCACATTCGCTGCAGGAATTTCTGTAAGTTCCAAACTTGGTACTTCTGCCTACACTGGTGAGCATAAAACAGTCCCATTTATGAAGCTCACCAGATAGATCTGGTGTAACATGGGGTTTACAAGAGAGTTCTGCTCACTTATAAGAAGCATGTTTAATAATGTTCAATATGTCTGCACTTCGCCCAAATCTCCCCCTACCACTTCACTGCAATGATTTATAAATGTCACATCACATCCCTCATAACTGTTCCCAGTTACAAGGATCATCTTGCCTTTTAGGTACAAACTTGATTCCATCCAGCACACAAATCAGGCGTTACTGTATTTGTATTACTGTAAAAGCCCCCACAAGCGTGCCCCAAAGTGATGTGACCACACTGCGATGAGTAATATAAAAGAGCAGAACAAACACAACCAGAAAGGCAGTGCAGAATTCACTTCCCTTCTGTAGTGATACGGTAGCCTGGAAACCAGAACACCTTCCTTTATCAGGTATAAACCAGCGTAGTTTATCACCTCGTATTTAATATGTTACAGCTGCCAAACAGGTATAATATAGCACTTACACTAACATAAGTTCAGCTGTTCTCCAAAGACAGCTTTTCCATTAGGCAGCTGTCAAGAATTCAAAGTCATAAACTGACTTTACTGAAGTTGGAGAGAAAGTGTCCTGAGCCCACTTTGCACTCTGACAAAAGGTGTTAGAGCTGCCTTCCACTGCAATACTTATCTTTGGCACCACTGAATGGGAAGGTTTTTGCAACAGAAATACTGGTGCCAGGCTCTGCTTTCACTCACACCTGTGACTCCTGCTGATTCCATTAGGAGTTTCCACAGTTCACTAACTCAGAAATAGGTGTACATTGTGTAAACCTGAATGCACGTGGGACAATGGTTTTATGATACAGCACATGAAAAGTCAATATTGGCTTAAGGATTTCCTGCACAACTTCCTGCCGTGCTTTTCTCTGAGTGTGGGTAATGTGTTATAGGTCATGTTGGTTTTCAGATCAATTTACGGTATGGCCTTCCCAAGCAGTCACTCTGTCACAGCTGAAAGTGATGCTCTGTGACACAGTACGGAAGGAGACAGCGGGAAGGAGAGACTGGTTTAAGGTGGTACCTCTGGTTGCCATCATACACATCATGATCACTGGCCAAGTTAAGGGCAATCAATGGATCTTTGCCAAGAATCAACTACCATTTGGCTATTTTGCTACAAGCTGCTCGGACCATTACTGTGTCTTAGCATCCATCAGGAAAGGAAGGACATGTGACATGGCTGGAAGATCCCAACTCACACAGGACCCTTAAAACTGTGGAAAAGTTAATGAAAACTGACTCTTTTTGCAAGACCAAGCCATGAATTGTACTTCTGTAGTGCAGTATGCACACTCAAAAGTCTTAAAAATACAACAGTATGAAAACTAAAACAATTTTACCAATAATCACTTTTCTTCCTGTTAGAAGATATTTATACAAGGAATTCAGACTTCCAAGGCATTTTATTTTTGCAACAGTTTGATTTAGTAAAATATAGTGAGTTATTATTATAGAAGGAAGAAAAAGGAAAAATTACATCAAGAACTTACTTTCTGCGGGTTCCTTAGATCTTCTGCCACTGGAGGACTTCCTCAGGAGACTTCGTCCTGAGGTAAAGAGGCTGGTTAGTTCCTCCAGAGGACTGGTGGGTGTCCGAGAACGAGAACCACTCTGAGATGATGACCCGTAGGTACTGACCGAGGCATTTACCATCTTTCCTCCTTCTTGCAATGTGTTTCTGGCTGTAGAATGAGGCACTGATGGAGAGCTTCTTGAGAGACTTCCTGAATGTACAGAGTCATAAGGTGGAGGTCTTTTGAGGCTTAAGGGGGTAAGAGACCTACCCATACTGACAGGAGAAGGTGAGGCAGAGTGACTTTTAGGATAACCATGTGGAGACTGTGTTCTGTATAAGGTAGAAGGATGAGGAGGTGAGGAGGTGTGCCCAGGGGTGCTAGTTCCATGAGATACTGTCTGGTCTTTCTCCAGTTTTTGATGGCCTGGTGTATGAGATGGCAGTGAAGATGGAGAAGCTCCAGCTTGTTGTTTGATGTAAGACACATTTTCTAAAACAGGAAGTTTTGTGACCTCTAGTGGAGTCAGAGGAGACTCGTCAGAATTTGGGGAACACTGCACTGGTGCTGGTGGGAACACCAGCAGTGGAGGTCTGTGAGAAAGCAGATTTGGAAATGGTGGTGGTATATCACAAAGCAAGCCCTTGGGAGTAGATGGCACTGAAGACTTGGTGAAATCTAGGTCAGGCACTGTGGGAGTAGCACACTGAGAAGAACAAGTGTGATGATCATATTCACATTGACATTTTGAATCTTGGCCTACATCATCAAATATAGGGTATTTCATCTCCTCATAGACTGCTTCGCTTTGGTCATCCTCATCTTTTTTGAAGTCTCTGAGAATATTCCCAACCATTTCAATATAAACAGGCTCTTCTTCCTCTGTGTCTGGGGCAGGAGTGCTGACCTGCGATAAAGAGGCATCCCTAGTAAGTGTTGTCTTCATAGGGCCATGCTTTTTGATATACGTTTCATCAAAAGATGTGCTTAACTGAGTGTTTGGATTTCGTTTCGGCTTAGGAGGTGGAATCTTCTTTGTGTATTCATCACTGTGAGGTCTTGGTTTGGCTGACACTGAAAACAGAGCACAACACAGATTTATCAGAAGTATGCAACACGCTCTGTCAACCACAGGATCTTTATTACAGTGCCGTAATTCTAGAGTGGATTTCCTGGGAGCAGTCTGTTGCTGGTTCTCTCTGGTATGATACCACCAGAACACTACAAAAATAACACCCTGTTCAAAACTCCTCATCTTCCCCCAGAGTGCTCTGATGCTCCAGTAGTAAGTAGCTAGTGAGCACTTCCTTTCCTCAGAGACATCTGTTCTTTCCCAAACTCTTTGGACAAGGGACTTTCCATGCTTAAATATTATGCTTTTCAAATATCACTGTGGGATTTTAAAGTCCCATAGAGTTGCCAAAGACATAAAACTAAGTATTTAAATGAACTTCTTATGGCTGCAAGGGAACAGTTAAGATCCTGGACATTCATACTGGAATGACACTGATGTAATTCTGCAGTGACACAGAGATGAATCAAGACCTTTTTATTTATAGCAACTTCTGGCACAAAGCACAACAATTCTTTCAGCACTAGCTGAGAAAGAACACACATAAAAATACTGTAAAATTTGCTGCTGGGGTAATCCTACTCATTTATCTGGACTCTATACTATGATTTAACAAGACTTCAGCGAAGTCAAGGGGGAACAAAGTATCTCAGAGATTCAAATCCTTCCCAAACAGGTTACTTCCAGAAACAACAGACCATTTTGTCTTTGAAATTATAAATCAAAACACTGTGATGAAATTCATTTGAAATGAGAAGTCAAAGGTTTCTTAGAAATTATGCCCTAATGAAAAACACCTCATTAAATGTCTGGGTGAAGTCAGCTTTTATCTTAAGCAGACTCAACAAACTTAGAAGCAAAATTTACCTTATACACTAAACCTAATTTATATTCCTATAGGGTAAATAGTCCTTGCGTTGAAAGCCTTGGTACCTCATTGATAAGTTTTCCAATTTAAAAAAATAATCCATAACTAGAATGGCAGCTTTCCTGTCTTTCAAAACATTGCTGCTCCTTGCAATTCACTGCTACAGATCTGTCACTACAAACTCAGAGTTCAGAGAAATTTCCAGACACCTTCTGCTGACCCATCAGAAAAGAGCCAGAAAATTTCTAATGTTAAACCAAGCAGGCAGTGCACATGGACTTAAAACCCCTCTTTTAGAGATAGACTGAAACGTATTACTAAAGCCAGCAGCTCTGCCAGCTGAAAGACACTATTTTGACAGCCTGCAAGGATGCTGGCTCAGGGCTGTAAGATGCCTGCATTACAGCATCTTACTAACATGATTTGGTCAGTATCAGTGGAGGAATCAAACCTAGTGTTATCACTTTGTCATACTTCTACTTTGATTTGCTAAATAACCTCTCTTCAGTTCTTACAAGGCATAGCAGCAAAGGCAGATGTTAAACAAGATTCCAGTTTTGTTTAGGAATAAGGAGCTGTGAACGTATGCACATACATGAAGTAATGAGACCATTCTTTGTCAAAAGCATCTGTTTAAGCTTAACATGTAAGTAAGGTACAAAAAAGCAAAATGAAAAAGAAATTTTCGAAACAAAACCTAACCTCAAAAATTTTATGAGGCTTTCACAATGGTTCCAATTAATGTGTTCCACTTTATAGCAGGCTAGGGACACGCAAAAGCTACCACAGATAAGAGTGTTTGGTAGCTTGATAGTTTTTCTCTATGTGGATATATCCTAATGCACTTTAAATTTGTCTTTTTAATTAACCCAAATTAATTTTCTTGAATGTATTAGGATAGACTTTTGGGAATGACATGTAGGCTACCAGAATCATTTGGGTTTTGCAAAAAATACTACTCCTGTTGTATTTCACAATACTAGCAGATTTCTCTCGCAGTGCTTCCAGCTAAATCACTATTTTCTTTCTGTTTAGTCTGTTATTCAGATATTATGTTCATATATGTTCTACTGACATAAACTTGATCTCAATTCTCTCTCCACACCTCTTAATCTGATTTACAACCCTGGCAAAAGCAATCTTTTTCAGATTGGTGTCATTAAAATGAAGAGACAGTCAATGAGACTGGCACAAACTGCTTGACCATTTCTGAACATGTTGCACAGGACCTGAACTCTACTTTACACTGGTTAAAGGATTACAGATTCCGCCGCATTTCAAAATTGTGTATTTTGCACATAGATGCTTCTCGCAGTCTTCAGTGCCCTATGCACCTTAATGGATACCTGAGATACAACTGTTTCCTGCTCCTCAGCCATCCTCAGATGCCTGTTCCTTATACTGTCTTCTACACCTCTGTGCTATATCTGCCACACTGAGAACATGCTCTGTCTCATAGCCATATCCCCACTCTTACATCTGAAGAGATGTTAAAATGGAAGAAGGGAAGAGGAATATAAATGGACAAAGTAAATGAGAAGATGCTCTTGCGCTGGAGGTCATTCAAGGCTAGTGTTAATTGATATTTTTATCTAAAAATAGTCAGAAGTGGTTAAGAGTACTGTGTTTTCAAACAAATTGCTAAAATTCATTTTATATTCCTCTTCTCTCCTTCCATTTTCACAGTTTTTATCCAACTAATGAGGTTCTGCCATGTGGTCTAGATCTGTCCTTAGGTGTTGCGGTTTACATATACAGCACTGACAAGTTACTACATACAGAAGAGGAAATAAGAAATGTCATGCAAAAAGGATTGACATTCTGTCATCTAGTCTTGTATAGTATTTTTGCATAGGTTGAAATTAAGTACCACGGTGACACACACAGCATTCTCATCTGCCATTGCATGATATGTAGCATTACCTTAAAATATCTTGGTGACATTATCAACAAAAAGGTCAAATGACCCAGTCTTGCTGTATGATACACAGGGTAGAACACAACAAGGTGAAAGATTTACTTTCCATTTTCTATTAAAGGCATTTTTTCCTCTGCCACAGTTTATTTTACTAAAGCATCTATTTCCAGGAGATGGTACATTACTGAGATCTTTCTTCGTCCTTCACAAACTAGACTTTTGAGACTAAAATTAAAAAGTAAATACTTTAAATATGTTAAAAATATTTTAAAGGTATAGAGGTACCTTTATATGCTACATGGAGCAAGAACATTTGGTCCTGTAAGACTTCATAGACAAAATACACAGGTAAATGGATAGGGTAAATAACAAAGGAACCCTTTTATTGTGACTGGGAACAGAGGAATTGCTCAATACCTACTGGGACCTCTCCTCAGCTACACTGGGTCATTTAGGAGGCAAACTGAATTGGCTTTAAGAAGGCTATAATGCAAGACACTGATCATGTTTATTTAACAAAGATTTCTACTCTGTAACACAGCTCCATAGCAAGAGCTGAACTGTATGGCACACCTGATAATGGAATATGGATCATGAATTACTGCTCCAGCCCTGAATAAAAGAGAAAAAAATCCCAGGAATTCTGCAAACACACAGAGCTATGCAAAGCTAATGAAAGGAGCAGGGAGTATTTGTATAGCTCCTGTGTTACCAACATTTGGCAGGAATAAATGTGCATGAATGCAGAAGCTCTGGCAAGATCCCATAGCCAATGAAAGGAGATTATTTGGCAATCTCCAGAGAGGAACAGGCAAGATTGCTTTAAGTACTTGACATTTATAAGGCAGAAAAAGCAATCAGTGCCTGCTGGGAACATAAACTCTTATGAAAAGCAAACCATGCTAACATATTGGTGATACACATACTGCCGTGTTGTCTGCCTTAAACATGGAGTAATTAAGCGCTTTTCATCATGGATTACTATGTCCTTGGTGCAACTGTCGCCAGTAACTTGCCCTGAGACTCTGCCACTCTTACATCAGAGCACATGGGACCCATCCAAAGCTAAACTGAAGAAATCAAAATGAGGACTATTTCTGTCCCTGCCAGATGGAAGTTCCCTTTAACAGCCATGTCAAAATGCACCACAAAGCTCTTGTGAGCGCTTCTACTACAGACACACACAAATGCAAGTGACTGCCATGTCTGCGAGGAGCTCGGACAGACCAAAGGTGACCAGAGAAAGACAGCTCAGCAATTGCTACAGGAGCTGCCAGAGCTTGGGGTGCTATGCTAGCAGCTCCTTTTCTTCGTAAGAAGCTCCCAAACTACTACAGCTGACAAACTGGAGGCACAGTGATCCTTGCAAACACAACTGAGCTTCATGGAGTTTACGCTGCTTGGGCAGGAACTCTCCATATTTAATAGCATCTTACTACCAAGCAATTATCTAGCTCTAACAAACTGCAAGTGAAACAAAACATGAAGGCTGTAATAACTTCAGTTCTCATCTAGAAGCAAGCAGCGCAGTGCTTAAAATAGCCTTATGGAAGCCCTACTGAATAAGCAGAAAATGACATTTTTGAAATGAGATATTTGTAGCGCAAAGGTTATGCATAGCTTTCAGACATGCCCAGATAATCCGCCTTTCCTAGTTAATTTTGGAAATACAGAACGCTTCTGGTCATCTTATCCTTTTGAAGTATTTTCTTGCTCTTTAAGGAGAGACTGAAATACAGAAATGTGTTATCAGATTGGGTTTTATTACGTGATCACTCTTAAAGAATGAGCGAGAACGTCTAAAACCGAAAATTAATTTCATCATTTTCTATTGTCCTCTAGGTGTTTACCAGCTTTTGCAGTCCAGAGAGCAAGCTGATTTATTCTGCTGTTCACTGTAACAAACAGAATAAAAGTACATGGAACAGGAAAATTCCTCCCTTTCAATTTCTACAAGAGGCTATAGCACACAATTTCTTTCTAAATGATGAACTGATTTGGGGCCTAAAAATTTTTGAAATTCTACTTTAAATGCAGAAGGAATTAATCTTGCTGTATTTTGAGGGATACCTCTATCAAAAAGAGCCTCCAGGAGTGAAAGGAAATAGAATTTCTTTAATTGAACATGCTGGATACTGAATCATATATGCACAGATTCTGATTTACATCACATAATTCAACAGAGAAAATCCAGCTGTAGGGTTGCACAGAACCTG